TTCTTTCTTTCTTTCTTTCTTTCTTTCTTTCTTTCTTTCTTTCTTTCCTTCTTTCTTTCTTTCCATTTTCTGAATTAAGCACTCACCAGCCTTTAAATAACACTTAGGAGCTTTATAATATAAGGAGGACTCAGTGATGGGCAGCTAGAGGTTCACCGGGGTTCGGGAGAGGCCCTCGCTAAGATTCTGTGCAGTTCAGACAACCCCCAAATCCCACTCCTGCTGGCCCCACCCACCCCGTCCCTCCCAGGAGTCCCCACACGGCCTGTTTTGGATGCAGGCAAGTGCAGGACATGTGTGGAGGCTCAGGGAAGGTGAAAAATGGGCCACCCAGAAGTTCAGGAAGGCCAGAAATGCACCCCACCCCCACCCCCATGGTGCAGGAGGCCGACTAGGCCATGCCCACCACGGCCACGGCTACCCAGCAACTAGGCAGAAAACCCTTTTCACAGCTTGTCATGGGGGAAGTTCCTTTACAGGTGAGTTCAAATCTGGCCAATTCTAGAGATGAGCCAGACTGAAGTTAGTCCATGATCTCCTCTTAAGCAATCTTTCTCTACATGCATTTTATTTTTATTGGTGCCCTGATGTCTCAGCCCTTAATCTGTGTCACATTAAATTACACACGTTCATCAGCCTTTCCCCAAATCGATGCCTTCCAAATGGCTATAATTCCCAGAGTTCAAAATTGTATTCTAACTTATATGGAGAGTTTCTGATTAGAATAAAAGGATGGAGCAAGCTACACACTAGAAACAGTCAGTCTGCATTTCTGATTTGAGAACTCTTATATTAGAGCAGGGGTTTCCGAACCTGGCAACTTTAAGACTTGTGGACTTCAACTCCCAGAATTCCTCAGGCAGCTTGTTGCCAAGTTTGGAGACCTCTGTATTAGAGCTACTATTGTTTCCCTGAAAGCAACCATTAGGAAAGCAATGACATCTGAAAAAAAAAATTGCGATGAGAGGGAGGGGGAATAAAAAGAAAGGGGCACAAAGTAAAAAAAATTCCGATACTTCCCACCTTGCAACTTTTTCCAATGGTTATAAAATCAGGAGTTTCGTACCATATTTTCTGTGTACACCTCTAATCATTTTTATTGACTCTATTTTCAGGGCTCACTGCAGAGGATGTAAACTCATGCCTAGGCTTTAATTTAGGAGCTACCATCACCGTAAAAGACCTTGCAGAAGCTACAGCCGATTTTAAAGCTCAACAATGTAAAACCAGTGGATTTAAAAATGGTGAGTACATCAGTCCCTACCTTCTTCTGACATTTTGAGGCCGAAGTTTGCATATTGATTGGCACATTATTTATATCCCTGTGATGTGTTGTTGGAACACATCAATCACATGCTGTATAATCACTTTAAGTAATGAACAATACTGATGTATACATTAATGCCAATATAATATAATATATAATGAGTGGCGTGGTGGCCTAGTGGTGAAGATGGTTGCCTTGCCTGCCACTAGGAAGGTTCAAAGTTGAATCCCAGGTAGTGGCACAGCGAAGGAAATGTCTGCTGCAAACTCTCAGTGGCATCCGGAAGGGCCTCTGCCCAGTAAATGTTCTACTCCAAGCCTACAAACTTGAAATTTAGCACATATATTCCTCTTGGCTTCTAGGTGATCAACTAAAAAGATTTTTCAAAATGACCATCAGAGCATTGGCATTTTGTATATTATTATTAACATGCTCTGATGCTAAGGAGTTCTACTCCCCCTCACCACCTGAAAAGAAATATGTTCCAAATGCAAAACACAAGCAGAGGAAAGGAGTTTCAGTTTCACAGCAGCAAGCAGCTTTAGTACAGAACAGTTGAGCTAAGCCACGCCCAGGCTCCTTGCTGTCTCCTTCTTGCTCACACAGCAAATACTGCTTCAGTTTCCAAACAGCCCTCAACTCTCTCACACACTGACAGGATGCTACCCAGATGAATAGCGATGGATGTTGGTAGGCAGAATTTTTTTCCTTTATTTTTCTCCCCAAAAACTAAGCCCAATCACATAGTTTCATAGGTCGGCTGTATCCTTTCCTTTAGAATGAAAGGGATGGAGAAGATAGTTGTATGGTAGCTCCAGAGAACTCACCAAGTGAATCATCTAGACCCTTCTCAGTCAGGATTCATACCTGGATAAGGGACTGAGATGTCATTGATCATGCTTCTAGTTTGTCTCCGGCAGGAGCGGGATCTCTAAATCACCGGCCCCCAATATTTTGGGCACCAGGGACCAGTTCTGTGGAGAGAATAGTTTCCATGGACCAAGGCAGCATAGTTTCATGTTTTGCCTGTGGATGGGGCTTTAGTTGTTTGTGAAGACTGATTTCTGGCATGCTGCGGACCAGTACCAACCCATGGGTTGGGTACCCTTGCTCTAAATCATGAAATAATTGAAAAGTGACCAAGCAAGATCCCTATTCTAAAAGATTGCCTGGTCATTTAGGCACCATGGATTTCTAGCAGAAATTCCTGAATAATACACTGGTTCTCTGGATCTCTGGTGTGAAGATGGAATAGGTAAGACCATGCCATCTGGAAGATGAACCCAGAAAATCACTTGATACCAATCAATATAGAAAGATTGAATTTCCTCAAACTGGGCAAATATAGTTGGCAGAAACTCTTAGGTAATCCATTTCCAACTATAATCCATCATCCAAGTGAATGTGAAAAAATCAAATCAAATGAATGTTCAGTTGCTCCAGCACCACCACCACCATCTTAAAGCCACTCTTTCTATTATTTCACCTCCATTTTTTTTCTCTTCCAGCTGTTGAAATGAGACAGAGTGGGGTTGTCCGAGATGTAGTCTCTATGGTTCAAGGTGGGACAACAGCTACCTTAACAAAGTTGAATGAATTGCTTTCATCAAATGTCAATCTAATTGATGCAGAACACTATTTCGAATGGGCTGCTACACTACCTCAAGCTCCTGGAGTGATAAGACAAGAGGTGAGAGGATTTTCTTCTATATCAATAAGTTGAAGTTTTCAATAAATGTGAACCCAAATATGAAAGAGTTTTCCTCTTTCCTGAAGAAATATTTTAAAGTTGCAGATATTTTCAGAGTCAAAGATTCTTATCAAGTAAAGCTAAAGCCGCACTCAAGTGAAGTTTGACATCTGTGGTTTCTATGATGTTTTCTAGGAATGATTCACCATAGCTTTCTTCCAAGATGTTTTTTCACTTTACATTCTGGTCAAAAATCCTGGGATTTCCTAATAATCCTCCCTCCCTTTTTTCCTTCCTTCCTTCTTACCTTGGCCTGGATAACAAAGCAATTCTTTCTTCTGGAGACCTTCTACTTCACAAGGATGTAACTTTTTAGGGCTAAGGACCATGATCAGCCTTTCTTTGGGTTGCATAATTCCAAAGCATTAGGCAGAACCTGAAGAAAGAAGTATGCGGAGTTAAGAGAAAAATATCATTAACTTTAATTTATGGTAAAGTTAATCACATAAAATTGGACAGAATGAATGAATAGAATGTCCTATTCTATTCCTTTTATAATTATATAAATTTATATAATTTATAATTATAATTAGGTGACAATCTTTCAATGGGGACTTCATGTAAGAGTTTTGAAACCTATAGACTCCTATTTTAGTTTTCCAAGCAAACTTTATTTCTACAACTAGCCTCAGCAAGAGTTTTGCATTCATATCATTTGCATTGGAATCCCTGGTTGAATAGTCTCAGCTATCCTAATTTCATGATCCAAACCGTATGCATCCTGTAGACAAGATTTCATCCCAACAAGTTATGTCTCAAAGTGCTTAAAGTTTTCAAACAATATTTTTCTGATTTTAAATGGTAATGTATAATAAAATAAAATTGTGCTAAGTGAAGATGCTAGATCTCTTTCCCTATCTTGATGGTGCTACTACTTTAAAAGGCCTACTTTTAAAGCCCCTCACAGACATCTCTAATATCATGAAAGAATAACTGGGAATTAGATAGAAAGATTAACACTTTACACCTATTAATGAGGGAGCTGTAGTAAAATGAATAACTAAAATCTGTATTTGAAAGAATCAATTACTGAGGAGAGGTAAGCATAACTGCAGGAGAACATGGATCTTCTCAGGATGAAGTGCTGTAGACAGTATTTTCTTTATGTACAGAACCTCATAATAATGATAAATTATTATTTAAACTGAAAAAGTGCACACATGCATGTGGTTAAATATTTCTGCAGCTAACCCCGATTTCGGAACTTGTACCGCTGAAAATCCCAGACTCCCGAATAAAGAAAGTAAATCTGGACAGAGCTGTAGAGGATTATGTGGCTGAATACAGCGCATGCAAATGCAAACCTTGTCTACATGGTGGGACGGCGATGCTGATAGAAGGGAAGTGTGAATGTGCCTGCAATCCATTTTACAAGGGAGATGCCTGTGAAATACCCAAGTCACGTTTCATACCAGGTTAGAAGTTGTTCAGTGACTTACCATATGTTTTAATGGCTCTCTTGGTTCTACAGTGTTATTTAAAAATATACCAAACCTATACAACATGTACAAAGCTTAATTATGTCGAGTTAACCCATCCTGTTGTCTGAAATGAAAAGAGTTATGCAGTTCTCAACTTATGACCCCAACTGGGAGAAGAATTTATATTGTTAAGCAAGCTAGTTGCTTAAATCCCAACAGATTTTATGATGCAGTTGTTAAAGAAATTCACCTTCTTCCGTTGACTTTGTTCATCGAGTGCTGGCTGGGAAGGTTGCAAACAGTATCACAGGGAAGTTAGGATTGGAAGGCAGAGATAAAAATTAAGAATTAATGAATAAGATGAAGGGGACCAATAGGAATTTATGAGCACTCTGGAGGCCCAGACTCAAGGGGGAGATTCAAATAGATGCTTCACATATTGGCCTGACCCATAATGTTTGCTTATGGTTTCTTCAAGAGGGAGTATACCACCTCTTCCTCCAAGGTTGATGAAAATACCCTGTCCATTAGGGATGAATTCACCATAGCTCAGATCCAAGCATATGTGACTTCTTGGGAGATCTTAACTAATCTAGAGGGACATGAATCTAATATACAGGTGCTTGGATTTATAGCCCTGAGAACCCTGTCTACGCTCAAAAGAATTACAGGATCAGATTCTTCCAAGAAATTAGGGCAAGACCATGTCTCAGTCAATTTAACTGCCACTGCCCGTTTTAAGTCAAACTTGGAGCAACTGACCGGTGCCTAGAAAATTCTTCACAATAGTTCTTACATGTTGTTGAGATTCTTTCTTTCTCAGCATGGGGCAAGTCATTTTGAAAAGGATTACTGGTTGACTAACTATAGACACAATAAGAGCAGAAAGATAATAGTAATTTTCCACTGCAAGTAACGGCCCCTAGAAAAGTATATTATTAACAAATAAAACATAATAGAGGCTATTACACTAAATAAAACCCATAACCCAATAAGTAAAAGTAAAACCAAAATCATCCATTCCAAATCAGAAAATATTACCAATTATTTTTAACTGAGTAGGATTTGCAACTGTGACTACAGGTCTATACAACAGTTCGAATGTAATTAGACAGTGCATTGTTAATATTTATTTTAAAAAACAGGATTGGTTGATTTGGATTTTTGCAATATAGTTAGCCCAAATACCCAATAATGTACAATAAAGATATAGCCATAGCAATAGCACTTATATATCACTTCACAGTGCTTTACAGCCCTCTCTAAGTGGTTTTACGGAATCAGCCTATTGCCCCCAACAATCTGGGTCCTCATTTTATCAACCTTGGAAGGATGGAAGGCTGAGTCAAACTTGAGCCTGATGAGATTTGAACTGCCAAATTGCAGGCAGCTGGCAGTCAGGTAGCCCGCAGTACTGCATTCTAACCATTGTGCCACCATGGCTCTTTTATGCTATATGATGATTGTGAGATTCTGAAGGAAGACAAAGTTATTTCTAAAATTCTGAATGTTCTGAAGTTAGACAAATTATTTCTTGTTCCTGATCCAGTTCAAACTGTCATTGATGGGAACTGGAACTGCTGGTCTAGCTGGTCCATGTGTCAGAATAGAGAACGTCAGCGGACAAGACAGTGTAATAATCCTGCACCTGGATCTGATGGCAAATCATGTCCTGGAACAAGTGTAGAACAGGGCCATTGTTGATTACAGAAGACTACCAACAGGTTTGTAACTTCTCAGTGTGTATAATGAATATGGTACTATTTTAATATAAGACTATGGGATATCCTGGATTTAATACTTCTGGAAGCAGAGTATCCACATGGAGAGCTGAAACTGTGAAGATTTTGCTGGTTATGTCAGGAGGGAGGGAGGGAGGGAGGGAGGGAGGGAGGGAGGGAGGGAGGGAGGAAGGAAGGAAGGAAGGAAGGAAGGAAGGAAGGAAGGACTATTTGGTAATTTAGAATTTCCTGTAACAGGAGGGAATGGAGAATGTCTTCTCCGAATTCAGCTGACTGACTCAGAGAAAGGCAGAACTTGCTTGCTTTCAGTTGCTATTCCATCACTAGTTGTGTGAGCATATGGGTGGTGGTGGTCATAGATTGGATTTAAAATATGTTGGGAATGATTTCCAAATGGGACAGATGATGGCTTGATTTGAAAAGTATTTTAGTCAGTTCCAACTATTCTTACTATTACAAGCATGTATTGTTTATTTGTCAGAGCTGTATCCAAACTTTCCCTCAGAACTTCAAGATAACAAAGATAATGCTCCCCCCCTCCATTTATTCCCCCCAAGAGCAACCCTTTGAAGTAGATTGGGCTCAAGAACCCCAAAGTCATCCAGGGAATATCGGTAGCCCAGGGTCAACTAGAATCTGATTCCATTCAGCCCTAGCCCAACACCTGAACTATTAGACCAGTGTTTCTCAATCTGGGCAACTTTAAGATGTATGTTCAACTCCCAGAATTCCTCAGCCAGTACAGAAGTTGACATCCACACTACTTATAGCTCCTGAAGTTGAGAAAGACTGCATTAGATCATGCTGGTTCTTCCATAATAGGACTTGATACAAAATGTTGCAGGATATTGTCCTACTAAAATAGGGCAGTTCAGCCCTGAGCTATATGTTGTATATTCTCTTCTATAGGAGAAGTCTATATAAGAAAAGAAATCAAATAGTTAGGCCGCATGTCTTTCTGTCTTTAAAAGTCAGAACTTCTATCCAAGCTTTGAGCAGTATACAATCACTATTACTTTGTATAATAATTTTTGGAATCTAAAAATCCCAACTAAATTATGTAACAGAATCTTGCAAGTCTGAAAGCCCTCTCTTCTGCTTTAATTTTGCAGAGGACTAGGGAGGGGCAGGGGTGGGATTCAACCAGTGTAACAACTGGTTTGGTGAGTGTGTGTGTGTGTGTGTGCAGCATTTGAAAACCACCCATTTTCAGCTCTAATACTTACTTTCTACTGCCGCCCAGGTGAGTAAAACAGCTGAGGCGCGGCAATCCGCATGAATCAGGTGAGCTGCAAAGCACAGAAATAAAGGATAGACTAGGGCAGGGGTAAGTGGGCGGGGCCAAATGATCACTGGAAGTACCGATTCACCTGAACCGGTCTGAACTGGTAGAATCCCACCCCTGGGGAGCGGCCCTTCATACACTTTTATCCTTCCTTTAGGCTCAGATGTCTCTTCTCAGATCATAGCCTAGGTCCCAGTGATTCCTCCTGTCTCCCAAGATTATTCCCAGATCCCATTACAGAAGAGCCTAGTCTTCCAGTTAAGGGAAAAGAGGAGCAGAGAAAAAGAGTCCCTGGACTGACAGGAACTTGAAGCCATGCATTCAAAATGTTTTGTGATTAGATACAATGAAAGTAAAATTCAGCGTCCCATCACCTGTACACCATTCGTTGGAAAGATGGAGAGGTGGGATTCAAAAATTTTAGCAACTGGTTCTCTGCCTGGTTGTTGAGTGGGGCATGGACTAGTTGGCCTCCTGCACCATGGTGGGGGGGGGGGCTGTTTTCACCCTCCCCAGGCTCTGGAGGCTTTCCTTGAGCTCCAGGAGGGTGAAAACGGCCTCCCCGGCTCCAGAGGCCCTCTGGAGGCTGGAAATGGGCCTGTTTCCGGCTTCCAGAACCACCAGGTGGCCTGTTTTTCACCCTCCCCGAGCCTCCGTGTGGGCCCTGCACCTACCTGGGATCCAGAACAGGCCACATGGAGACTCCTGGGAGGGGGGGGGCGGGGCCAGCCAGTGGTGGGATTTGTTGGTTCACTGAACCGGCCATAAAATTAGCTACTGGTTAGCTATGGGTTCATCCAAACTGGGGAGAACCGGTGGCAGCCCACCCCTGGAAAGAAGTGTTGAAAGCCTACCCCACTAGTCACCGTCTGAAAGGAAAAGTGAAACTCCATTGATTGTAATGAGATTTAACTGCAATCATTTCTGCAGTGTTTTAGTTAAGGAATTTAACTAAAGTTTAGTAACAGTAAACTAAAGCTTTAAGCTTAATTTCCTCTCTCTCTTTTTTAGTACAGAAAACAAACACATTTATGGATATTAAGGGCGAGTCTGTTCCAAACAGTAGGAGCCAGGTTGGAAAAAGTTGTAGTCCAAGTCAGAAGATGCCAATTTTGCATCACACCATTTTCTATTGTGTCTTTCAGCAACCTGAACGTCCCTGTCAGATAGATCTACGGATCAAGAGTCTTGTCACCAGATTGAATTAAAAGCTATTGATCTCTGGATTTCAGAGCACCACTTTGTATTACCCAATAAATTTGATGGCTTGCAAAATGCACATCTGTGTTGTTTGTTCTATCAACTTCATATTTAATCCTTTAAAACTAGTGCCCTCAATATAATGGCACTTCATTTTATTTTATGTTACTGTACTGGATACTTTACTGTTCCCCCACAAAAAGAATGTAGAATAAGAAACATGGCCAACTGTTCTTACTTTTTGGAAAATCTTGAAGATTTCTGGTTTAATACATTGTAAGTTCCTGTTTGTATGTATATTGGTTGTATATTGCAAGGATGCAATATAGGAACAATACAAC